TAAAAGGTTCTTTGCATGGTGTATACGGTTCTATATAGGTTCTTCTATTGTTAAAAATTTAACATCGTAACAATAGCAGATCCCTTTTTGGTACTACCTAAAACTATATACAGCACATTCTGAAGAACAATCTGGTTCTTTGAGTATTCATGGTTCTATACAGAACCATTGTCTTCACTATAGAACCCTTGAAGAATCATCTTTTTTAAGAATGTAGAAGAAGTGTTGACTTATTTTATATTTTATATATTTATGACGTAGGAAATCAACAAAACATACAATTTGACTCTGAATCTGTCCCGAGGAAAAGGTGCATGATTATACATTTTCATAATGTTTTAAAATAGAAAAATAAAACATGAAGCCTGGAGTCAAGAACGCGAGTCAACTGAGTCAACGCAGTTTGAACTGAATACGTTTAATTGTGTTCCTCTAAATAAAGGTAAGTGAGAACGTACCCTTGGGGGTTCCATCCTAGTGACAGTTCAGTACCTTATTTATATATTTTAGAGAGTGTAGAGAACTGTGTGGGGTTTAATGGTGTCATTTTGGTGCTTCCTACCACACACACTCACACACACACACACACGTTTGTTTATGTGAATAGTGGGGACATTGCACAGACTTCTACTAATTATCCTTAAAGCTTGTCTTCACCTCACAATTAAATGATGTACATTGTGGGGACCAGCTATAAACAGGTTTTGGTCCCCACAACGTGGTATAAACCTGTTACACACACATACAAATAAGGCATATTAATCACACTGTAACCCACCTGTAGCGCTAACACCTGGCTAAGAGATACACTTACACACCTCAGACACCAACTCATCCATCACTCACACACACACACACACACACACACACACACATACACACACACACTCTCTCTCTCTCTGTCTCGTTTGCTGGCCCTGTGTTGACTTTTGACCTTTTCCCTTCCCTCCATTGGCTGTTTAATGATGCATTTAATTAGGCCGCCAATGAGGGGCGGAGTCAACGATAGCCAGGGGGGCCACACATACACACACACACACACCCACACACACACACACACACACACACTGGAACAGACGACAGAAGTAGAAAACAGGGCAATAAACACTCATCAACGTCATCACAGTTCTACCCACAAACCCCTGGAGTACATTCACAGCCAATCACAGAGCAGCACCGCACAACACCAGGGCATGATGGGTAAGCATAGCTGATGACTAAACAGCAAGAAGAGCAAGAGCAGTTCTGCTGAACCAGGAGAGAGAAAATTACAGACAGAAAAAGACAGAAAAAAGTGGTCCCGGGGGTCCGACAGACACTTTAAACCTCCTCTGAAAGGACAGTTATTATTATTAATATTAATATTAATATTATTATTGCTAACATCACCTTCTGAATGTGAATAGACATCATCCATAAGTACTGTCCTGGCATTTTGAGATCACTGAACGTAGCATTCACGTTAGCCTACATCGCTAATGATCATAAACCTAAATCAGGATCACAGTAAAGGCCTTTGTTTTTAGCTGATGCCAAAACTTCAGCCTGATTCTCAGCAACAACGTCTGTAAATGTGTGTTTGTCCTGGAGAATCGAATTAATTTTGAGTTCCATAACTTGTTTTTATTTACATAATATTTGGGCTACTAGCTAACTAGGCTAACTTAGCAACTGCTTTCTAATGCGAACAATTTTCATCTGACAAAAAAATATATCCCCAAAATAAAACTTCACTGTGTTTGGCCTGACGACGCGCTGCTTCTATTCAGTTCTACGAACTGTTAGTTATGGCTAACAGAGCAAACTAGTTAGGTGACTAGAACCAGTTATATTCTAGCTAATGCTAAAGCTTTAGCTTTGAGACAATAAAGGACATTAAAGACCATGTTCCAAATCCAATTAATCCGATTAAGTTTTAGGTTACAATTTGTTTTTATTTACCAAATATTTAAGCGTAAATAAATTACATAACAGCTGTTTTCTAGCTAATGCTAAATCTTCAGCGTCGAGCTTCTCAAGGACACTAAACAGTCGAGTTAATTTGTCAGAGTAAATTCAACTAAGTTATAGTTTTAAGTTGTAGCTTAGTTTATTAGCTTTTATGTAATATATAAATACCTGCTTAAGCTGTTATAACTAGGCTAACCTTCTAGCTAAGGCTAGAGCTTTAGCCTTAATGCTCTACAGGACATCACACAGAAAGGGTCGTGCTACTTTGTTGTGGCAAACCCAGTAATATTTTGGGTTCTATGACTTATTTCTTCTCTAATATTAACTTAGCTACTCCAGCTAACTTGGCTAACTTGAGCTAACGCTAAAGCTTCAGCGAAAGGTTCTCAATAACAACAGAAGTAAAGGGGTGTGTTAGCTTGTCGCAGCAGATTCAAATGTCTCTGGGTCCATTTATTAATATATATTTGGTATTATTATATTTTAAAGGTTATAGCTAACTAGGCTAACTTAGCGACTGTTTTCTAGCTAATGCTAAAGCTTCAGCTCTCAAGGATCTCACAAGTAAACAACGGCTGTGGTGCCTCCTCATAGGAAATCCATCAATGATTTGTTTTCATTTAATTTGTAAACTTGAGTTTTGCTAAGACTATTAAAACTAGCTAGGCTAACTTAGCGATCGATTTGCTAATGCTTCAGCATCAAGGCTTTCAGTGACACCACATGAAAAGAGCCGTGTTATAGTTGTTATGATGTCGTGGCCAATCATAATTAACGTTTAGTTTCCATAATTTATTTCTATTTATTGTTCTTATATTTGTTAAGCTAGCTCGGCTAACTTAGCGACTGTTTTCTAGCTAATGCTAAGGTTTTGGCCTCAAGGTTCTCCATTACGTTGTACATGAAGGGCCGTGTTACCTTGTCATGGCAAACAGAGTCAAGTTTTGGGTTCCGTGATGTGCTTTAACTCAAAATATTGTCGTTTATTTCAAAAAATGATAAAAAAAAATGTAATACATTGGGGTGTGTGTACCTGCGGACCACTGGGACAGAGGATAGAGAGAAAGAAGGAGGAGAAAAAGAGAGAGAGAGATAGAGAGAGAGAGAGAGAGAGAGAGAACAGTTCGGCTGAACTGAGAAAGATACCTTCTGTAGAACAGTTCCTGCCACAAGCGGTCTGGAGAACATAGAACATCTCACGGAAAGGGCGCGGACCTTCCCATACGAAGCATTTAGAAAAAAGAGGGAGAGAAGAGAAAGGGAGAGAAGGAGAGAGAGAAAGAGAGAGAGTTGGCAAGAGAAAGAGAGAGAGGAAAAGGGGGGAGGGGGGAGGGAGGATGGAGGGAGGACGGAGGGAGATGAAAAGAAAATTGGGGGGAAAAAGAGGAACGAAGGAGGAAGAACGAGGGGAAGGGAACGGGCGATGGATAGAGATGGAGAAAGAGAGGGAAGAGAGAGAGAGAGAGAGAGAGAGAGAGAGAGAGGGATAGAGAGGGGGAAGAGATAGAGCTGTGACTCCGGAGGGAAAAAAGAGAACGGAAAGAAAAAGAAGGGCAGAGCAGCGGAGGAGTGCAGAGCGGATGCGGCTGAAGCAAACAGAAGGTATCTGAACACAAAGTAAGGCATGCATGGTGCATTCTGGGAAATGGAGTCTTGAAAACAGACCCCGCCCCCCAGCATCCTACCACTCCTACAGCAGGCTCCGAGAACTACAGGAAGTCAGCATCCGCACGACCGAAGCTTCGTTAAATGTGTTGGTCGTTTATTACACTTCTAAAAAAGATGGTTCTTCAAGGGTTCTTTAGCGAAGAACATGGTTCTGAGTGGAACCATGAACACTTAAAGAAGCCTTTGCATGATTAAAGGGTTCAATTTATGGTGAAATGGTTCTTCAGATTGATGAAGAATGTATTATTGGTTCTACGTAGAACCTTTTTGAAAAGGGTTCTAGAAAGCACCAAAAAGGGTTCTTTGATTGTGTACAATGTCAAGTTTGTAGCAATAGAAGAACCCTTTTTGGTGCTTTGTAGAACATATTCTGCCTCAGTGTGACAATTCATGATGTAAAGAACCCTTTAATCACACAAAGGGTTCTTTCAAAGGGTTCCACATAAAACCATTTTCTTTATTAAAGAATCCTTGAAGAACCATCTTTTTTAGGTAAGATGTGTTTGTCATTAATTACATTCTTAAAATAGATGGTTCTTCAGGGGTTCTTTAGTAAAGAACCTGGTTCTATGTGGAACCATGAACACTCAAAGAAACCTTTGAATGATTAAAAGGTTCTCTTCATGGTGAAATGGATCTTCAGATTGATGCAGAATGTGTTGTAGATGGTTCTACAAATAACTTCTTTTAAAAAGGGTTCTATGTAGCACTAAAAAGGGTTCTTCTTTTGTGTAAAGTCAAGCTTGTAACAATAGAAGAACCCTTTTTGGTGCTATGTAGAACATATTCTGCATCGATGTGACACTTCATGGTGTAAAGAATCCTTTAATCACACAAATGGTTCTATCAAAGGGCTCCACATAGAACCATTTTCTTTATTAAAGAACCCTTAAAGAGCCATCTTGTTTAAGTATGATGTGTTTGTCGTTAATTACAGTCTTAAAAGCGATGGTTCTTCAAGGGTTCTTTAGTAAGGAACATAGTTCTATGTGGAACCAAGAACCATTTACATGATTTAAAGGTTCTCTGCATGGTAAAATGGTTGCTCAGATTGATGGAGAATGTGTTGTAACAGGTTCTACATAGACTTTTTTACAACATCAACTTTTTAAAAAGGTTCTATGTAGCACCAAAAAGGATTCTTCTATTGTGCACAATGTCAAGTTTGTAGCAACAGAAGAACCCTTTTTGGTGCTATATAGAACATGTTTTCAACCAAAGTGAAGATCTATTTCATTAAATCATGCAAAGGGTTCTTTGACTGTTCATAGATCTGCATAGAACCATTTCCTTTATTAAAGAACCCTTGAAGAACCATCTTTGTAAGTGTGATGTGTTTGTCATTAATTACACTCTTGAAATTGATGGTTCTTCAAGGGTTCTTCTGTAAAGAACATGGTTCTATGTGGAACCATGAACACTCGAAGAACGCTTTGCATGATTAAAAGGTTCTCTACATGGTGAAATGGTTCTCTAGATTGATGCAGAATGTATTGTAGTTGGTTCCACATCAAACCTTTTTAAAAAGGTTCTATGTAGCACCAAAAAGCGTTCTTCTATTGTGTACAATGTCAAGTTTGTAGCAATAGAAGAACGCGTTTTGGTGCTATATAGAACCAAAGTAAATAACTAGTTTTCCACCAAAGTCAAGAACTATTTCATTTAATCATGTGAAGGGTTCTTTGAGTGTTCATGGTTCCACATAGAACCATTTTCTTCATTAAAGAACCCTCGAAGAACCATCTTTTTTGAGGGTGTACGTTAGACATTGATTAGCATTACATTACATTGACATATGACTATGTTAACATCAGAATTGGAAGAATTTCAGGCCTTTTAATAAAACAAAACATTTAATAAACGACAATTATAAAATTATATTTTTTTTAATGATTTTTAAAATGTTTTATACGTTAGAATTACCGTACATTTTAAAAAAGTGCTCTGTTATCCTCCCAGAGGGTCATTTCCTTCTCGGAGGCCTTGGTCACTTCATCACTTCTCATGCCTCATTATCGTAATTGGCTTGTTTCATCAATTATGTACGTGTATACAGACCTTAATCGCCATGGGAACAGAGAGCTGCGCGAGGTCGCCATGGTGACCGTGGGATGGCAAAGGAGAGCAACACACTGGCACAAATCATGCTGTAAACCTGTCTGGCGGGCCGGGACCCCAACCCCCACCCCCGCCCCCCCCGCTAATCTCAGTGAACACCGTGCTGACGCTAATCTAAACTCCTGCGCTAATGCTACTTAGCCACTAACTCACAAATTAAGCACAGCAACAGCGCAAATTAAAACTAATTTGCAGAGCTACGCAATCTAATTGGTTTTACGAGAACCTTTCAGAGCTCACGGTGCCCACGATCTCAGGTTAACTCCAGATTTAGCGCCGACTGAGACGCCGTTCAGAGTGGTTTGGTGTGAAATGCTATGTTGTAGAGTCAGAACTGTTCACAGTGGTGGTGATAGGAACCAGACGTCCACCTCTAAAAGCTCCCTCACAGAAAGTTACTACATGAAATGGTTATGAATTCACTGCCTGATGACTGAGACACTGTTTCATGATAGTTTAGAGAACTTAAACTCCATTCATGGTGGAGGGATACATGAAGGGCGCTGTGAGGCAAAATAGTCCCCAAAGAAAACTTATCATTTCAGATTTTCCACTATTTTCCATCATCAACATTCCATATAAACTCAGAAGACTCGTGTAGGTTCACTGGTGGTTCTGGATAGTAAATAAAATGTCTATATTTGTGTTGTAGTCATGGCGACCCCTGGTTCCTACCACCACCACTGTAAAGACATCTGAACCATTTCACACCAAACCACCCTGAGTCACTCTGTTTACATCTCAAAACACTGAATTATATAGAAATTTGGGAAAAATTGGTGAAATTGTCCTGTAAATTAGCTACTTTTTTCTATACAGCCGTCTCATTCACGAAAGTTTTACAAAAATGCTATTTAAGTCATGCTGTAAAAGCTAAACTGTCATATTTAGGCGTTTGTATAAAGTTTACTCTAATACCTTTATGAAAATAATTTTTAAGTAAGATCTAAAATCTTTTTAAATCTTTAATTAAACTACTTATTAATATTTATATAAACTAAACCACTTATTAAACATACATTTATTTAAACTAAACCATTTATTAAACCTACATTTATACAAACTAAACCGCTTATTAAAACTACAATTATATAAACTCTAAACCCATTATTGAACCTGTATGTATATATATATAACTAAACTACTTATTAAACCTATATTTATATAAACTAAACTTACATTTATATGAACTAAACCACTTATTAAACCTACATTCATATAAACTAAACCACCTATTAAACCTATATGTACATAAACCAAACCAACATTTATATAAACTAAACCACTTATTAAACCTATATTTATATAAACTAAACCTACATTTATATAAACTAAACCACTTATTAAACCTATATTTATATAAACTAAACCTACATTTATATGAACTAAACCACTTATTAAACCTATATTAATATAAACTAAACTACTCATTAAACCTAAATTTATATAAACCAAACCAGTTATTAAACCTACATCTATATAAACTAAACCTCCTATTAAACCGAAATTTATATAAACTAAAGCTGGTTTAAAAATAAAGCTAATCTATTATTAAATCTTATAAATTCTCTCTGTAGATCAAATCCGACATTAAAACGCCAAACTTCACTCAGAATCCTTCTACTTCACTATCTCCTCTAAAGCCCCGCCCTGATTCTGACCCTCTTTAACCCTCTCAAACCCGACCCCTCACTATCCGTCCCGTCCCACTTCCCAGCCCCCTGATGACTCACCTGTGATGTCGAACCACAGGGGCGTGGCTCTTTGTGGTTGAGCCGAGACCACGCCCACTATTTCGGCCACTTTGTCCGTTTCCATGACGGTGAAGTTGTACAGCTGCTCGTCGAACACCAGCGGCACTGGGCTGGGCGGCGGCCGCCGGATCCACTCGATATGCAGCCGCGCCGTCGCCCAGCGCTGAGGACGACCGTTATCCATCGCCTTCACCTGAGGTCAGAGGTCAAATGGTAAATATACAATAATGACATCACTGGGAAACAAAACAGACAAATCTCAATTAAGGCTGTGATTTATCCAATATCTACTATGAATTATTCAGTATTGATTATTGATTATTTATTATCTATTGTGAATTATTCAGTATGTACTACAAATTATTCAGTATCTACTCTTAATTGTTCAGTATTTACTATGAATTATTCAGTGTCCACTATAAATTATTCAGTAACTACTATGAATTATTCAGTATCTACTATGAAAGTTCTCTAAATCATCAAAAAGGTCAGGTCATTAAAAAAAAACCGTTAGCATTAGCTCATAGCATTTACTGGCAGGCTATCTTACTTAAATTACGTGGCTGTTTATTCGAAAATATCTGTACTATTAGATCAGCACTAGCCGATACTCAGTATTAAAACACTTGGATCAGATTCAGGGGCCAACAACTGGATCAGGACCCCCCTATAATGAAATGAATTACCCAGTTTTTATCTTATTGATAACAGATTTTGATCAACGTCAATTTTACATATTTTGTTGATTTTCTAAATAAAAATAATTTACCACATCATCTACAGAGAACACACTATATTTAATGCACAATTACTCTTTGTCGCATTCCAACATATTGGAAAAACTAAATTATAACTTAATAAATTGGGCACTGAAATTTGCAATTATACAATACAGTATTTCATATTTTACGTGTTTTTTTCTAATATAAATTGTACACAGAAATTTGCAGAGAAATGCCATATTTAAGTCTGTTCCCTAACTACACTCTTAAAAAGGAGGGTTCTTCACGGGTTCTTTTATAAAGATAATGGTTCTATAGAACCATGAACACTCGAAGAATCATTTGCATGCTTAAATGTTTTTTTGCATTTAGATTGATATAGAATATGTTGTATATGGTTCTATATAGCACCAAAAGGGTTCTGCTATTGTTGCAATCTTGACAATACAATAGCAGAACCCGTTTGGTGCTACATAGAACCTTATACAACACGTCCTCCATCAATCTGAAGAATCATTTCACCATGCAAAGAACCCTTTAAGCATGCGAATGGCTCTTTGAGTGTTTATGGTCTGATATAAAACCACTGTCTGCACTAAAGAACCCTTGAACAGTCTTTTTTAAGAGCATGTCGTCTGCAGTATTGAGTGTCTCAGCTCTTGTGAATTCAGAGAGGGAAGCTTTGTTTCCGATAAAGCTTATTGATCCTCCTGTATCTCATAACTTCATGCTTTCTGACAGCTTTTGTCTTCAGCAATTGTTTTCTTTTGCTCCACTGGATCCTCAATCGATGAATAAGAGGAGCGACGGATTGCTGTAGAGGAAGACATCTGTTCACAGTTAAAGTGCCATAAATTCTAGATGATTTTATTTATTTATTTATGTTCAGTTCGAGGAATTAATAGGTGAAAGTTTCGAGCCATTCATCCTGAACAATAACATCAATAAACTGCATGTGTGAAGAATTTATTTTTATTTATTATTAACAATATTTCCGACACCTACTTTTTTCCCGACATGTCGCAATGTGTTCAGTTTTAATGGGATCATTAATCAAGATGTAAATGATTCTACTTGAACGAATGCAAATATCTGTAAACAACAAAACTTTCAGCGTAATTAAATGAACAGATGTATGTTTTGTATTGGCAACTTTGCTGCCCACGTTTTTACAGAGCAGGAGGCCCATAAATCTACGTACGGTGAGGATGTCGTAGGTTCCAGCGGAGAACTGTTTCTTCGGGGAGGAGACCACGCCCGTTTTGGGGTCGATGTAGAACTTGCCGTCCTCGTTTCCGTCCACGATGCTGTAGGAGAGCTCAGCGTTGGCGCCCTGGTCGGCGTCGTAGGCGAAGACGCGGTAAATGGGGCCGCCCCGCTGCTTCCGGCCGCGCTCGGGCAGACGCACCTGATACAGCTTCTCTGGAAAGACGGGCTTGTTATCGTTCACGTCCAGAACCTGGATCACCACCCACACGGTGGTGTGTCGGGGGGAGGGGCCTCCGTCGGACACCGTCACCTACACAAACAAACACACACGACATGTACAACAGTGTGTTTCGGTAGCACCGTAACATTTACATTACATTATTCAGTATCTACTACGAATATTCAGTATCTAGTCTGAATTATTCAGTATCTACTCGGAATTATTTAGTATATACTATGAATTATTCAGTATCTACTAAGAATTATTCAGTATCTACTCTGGATTATTCAGTATTTACTAAGAATTATTCAGTATCTACTCTGGATTATTCAGTATTTACTAAGAATTATTCAGTATCAACTCTGAATTATTCAGTATAGACTCTGCATTACTCAGTACTAAGAATTATTCAGTATTTACTATGAATTGTTCAGTATTTACTGTATTTTTCATGATCTACTATGAATTATTCTGTATTTACTAAGAATTATTCAGTATCTACTATGAATTATTTAGTATCTACAATGAATTATTCAGTATATATTATGAACTATTCAGTATCCGCTATGAATTATTTGGTACCTATTCTGAATTATTGAGTATCTACTATGAATTATTCAGTATCTATTCTGAATTACTCAGTATCTACTATGAATTATTCGGTATCTACTCTGAATTACTCAGTATCTACTATGAATTATTCGGTATCTACTCTGAATTACTCAGTATCTACTATGAGTTATTCGGTATCTACTCTGAATTACTCAGTATCTACTATGAATTATTCGGTATCTATTCTGAATTACTCAGTATCTACTATGAATTATTCGGTATCTACTCTGAATTACTCAGTATCTACTATGAATTATTCAGTATCTATTCTGAATTACTCAGTATCTGCTATGAATTATTCGGTATCTACTAAGAATTATGCAGTAACTACCATTAATTACAGTAAATTGTTTAATACTTTCAACTATTCAGTATCCACTATAAATCATTTAATAAGCACTATGGATTTTCCAGTACATATCATAAATGATTCAGTATTTACTATGAACCTAATGTGTAAGTTCTGTCGTTATGAGAGTGAGGCACTGCCCCGCTGATGAGCTGAAGTGGGGACCCACATGCGGACCCTTAAATCTGGAGACTAGACTGTTTTTAAATGTAAAAACTAGACTGCATGCAAATGAACCCACCGAGTTTTACCCATCTATCCACAAACTGCTGCTGTTCCCAAAAACAAGAGCGTTAAAAAAGTTTTAAAAGCCAAGCAGAGGCAGGAGCAGCACACCTGTTCGGCGGTGTTACTCTGTCAGAGAAGTGTTACGGAGGTGTTTTTAAGGCACTCTGCGCCTCGACACTCTCATAAATTTCTGAGTGCTGACAGATTGTGTTCCAAATCGTGACTTGTGATCGTCTGAGCAGCCGCACTGAATATTCCAGGAGTCAAACATAAAAGCGGCGGAGGCAGCTCTTTTGTTTTTATTCAATATTTTGAGCTCGCTGCTTTTAGATATTTATCAGAGTCAGACTCAAAACAGCACAAAACAGACTCAAAGAGCAGCACTAGATGTCACTTCATTATATTTTAATGCTATTTTTAGCACCACAGTCAGACTTCTACACTTTCCTGTTGAACTATTTATCTAAGCCCATTAGAAATGCATTGAGGGCGTTAAAATCATCACCATACACTGTAACTGTTCTTCTTTTTCCTTTTTCTCTTAATAATATTGTTTCATTTTTAATTTAAAATTCTCTGAAGATCATTTTAGCATCAATATTTATCACCCTTTTTGGCCACTTTATTAGAAACACCCACCTTGTGCTTCCACTAACTGGCCACTTTATTAGAAACACCCACCTTGTACTTCCACTAACTGGCCACTTTATTAGAAACACCCACCTTGTGCTTCCACTAACTGGCCACTTTATTAGAAACACCCACCTTGTACTTCCATCAACTGGCCACTTTATTGGAAACACCCACCTTGTGCTTCCACTAACTGGCCACTTTATTAGAAACACCCACCTTGTACTTCTACTAACTGGCCACTTTATTAGAAACACCCACCTTGTACTTCCATCAACTGGCCACTTTATTGGAAACACCCACATTGTGCTTCCACTAACTGGCCACTTTATTAGAAACACTCACCTTGTGCTTCCACTAACTGGCCACTTTATTAGAAACACCCACCTTGTGCTTCCACTAACTGGCCACTTTATTAGAAACACCCACCTTGTGCTTACACTCACTGGCCACTTTATTAGAAACACCCACCTTGTGCTTCCACTAACTGGCCACTTTATTAGAAACACCCACCTTGTGCTTCCACTATCTGGCCACTTTATTAGAAACACCCACCTTGTGCTTACACTAACGGGCCACTTTATTAAAAAACACCCACCTTGTGCTTCTACTAACTGGCCACTTTATTAGAAACACCCACCTTGTGCTTCCACTATCTGGCCACTTCATTAGAAACACCCACCTTGTGCTTACACTAACTGGCCACTTTATTAGAAACACCCACCTTGTACTTCCACTAACTGGCCACTTTATTAGAAACACCCACCTTGTGCTTCCACTAACTGGCCACTTTATTGGAAACACACACCTTGTATTTATTCACATGTAAGCATTCTTGGCTAGTGAAGTAATTTTGATTCTGATCTATAAAAGGCAGAAAAGCTCCTCCTCCACTCCTTTGTTCTCTTCTCCAAGGGATGGTGTGATGATAAGTGATGCCTTGTTATCCTCTTAAAGAGAAGACTACACTCGCTTGTCTCTCATTTCCTTTTTCTGTCACGCCATCCATTTTACTTTCCACTCACCCCAGCCACACCCAT